GAATACTTCACGGGTAGCTTGCCAGGCTTTGCCATGCGGGCGAGATACTCTCGGCAGCTTGCTGGGCTCTCCGAGAGGGGCGGAGGAATCGAACTCGGGTCGGCCATGTTGGCTGCGTGCAAGGCAAACACCCTACCTGCTGAGCTATCGCTCCAGTCCACTGTATCACTGTATCACTGTCCTCCCATTGTTCATCGATTTGCTCGAGCGGGCCCAGTAACGTCTCCATTGGAGGCTTTGTTGTTACTATGTTTGGCATATTGAATACATCACGGGTAGCTTGCCAGGCTCTGCCGGGCGGGCAAGATACTCTTGGTAGCTTGCCGGGCTCTCCGAGAGGGGCAGAGGAATCGAACTTGGGTCAGCCATGTTGGCTGTGTGCAAGGCAAACGCCCTACCGCTGTGCTATTGCTCCAGCCCATTGCTCCAGCCCATGCTTTGTTAATTCCCCATTTTGCCCACTTCTTCGTGTAATCAATTCCAAAAAGCTAGCTTGGGAGAAATAAATTTGAAGCTTGATCAGAGTCTTGTCTTGCTCCCATTCTTCTGTCTCTCTTTTTTCCCCACTCCCGCATCCTGTCCCAATTATCCACATTGACTAGTCCTGTGGGTCGGGGCAGTTTGGCATCCCTCTTTGGTCCTATAGGGGATGTTCAGAGAGCTGGTCCCAGCAGGTGGCTGGTGTGGAAGGCCACAAGGAGATATGATCATGAAGGGGAAGGAGAGGAGAAAGCTCCTTCCACAGGGCATCCTCCCCCCCCCCACGCCCCCCCCCCTACCACACACACCACAACGCTGATCACACTGAAAATAATTCAAATAGAGTCAACACAGGGAGATAAATGGTGATGAACATTTTAATGGAGTGTTAAAGGCAAGCAAGCAAGAAAGAAACATGCAGATGAGTATATTTCATTCCACTCAAGTGAGGTACTTGGAATAGCTGAGTTCCTAGAAATAGGGATGTGGTATGGCGGGGCCAGGAGCAAGGGACAGAGAGGAACAAGTTACTGCTTAAAAGGTTCAGGCTTATGTTTGGATGTTTGACAAAATGTGAAAATAGAATGGAGCAGCTACTCAACCATGAATGGAGTCACTGATGCTTGGTGGTGTCCTTGGAACACATTCAGCGCATCAACGGCCTTGATCCAGAAGCACAGCAGTGAATCCCAGAAGACAGCAGCTTGTCAGAGATCTCTCCAGACCCCGTACCAAGCCAATTCCACCGGGGCACCTCAGATGGAGCGGGTACGTCCTCTCTGCCCACTCCAGATGAAACCCCAGTGGTCACAAGCTTCCAGAAGACCTTTGTATTAGACTAAGGGACAAAGACTCCAGCCCACATGACACATCAGAGATGGGCCATCCCTTCCCGTATTCCTGCCAGATTGGGGTCCTGGCTGTCAAGCCCATGATCTGTCTCCAGGCGCCATCCCAGAGCATCAATAGCTTCGATCCAGAGACTCTCAAATGAATCTTAAAATGGATTAGCTCCCTACAGAGATGTCTCTGGAACCCCAGCCATTTACAATTTTAGAATCCAGAAGTGAGCGACCACTTTTGCGGCCTCGCGACCTCTCTTGATATCCATAATAAGCAATAGAAAATAAATGATCTCGCATCTGCCCCTGGCAGGCAGGCTTGAATGGTGGTGGGAAAATTTGAAATAATGGTGGTGGGAAGGTGTAACGGTGGTGGGATTGGTGTTGAAATATTGAATGTAATCAATGTGATTAACCTTATAAAATTAAATTAAAAAAAAAAAAGAAATTCAGGGGCTAAATTTGGCATTAGGTGTCTTTTACTTTAAAAAGGACAAGTAGGAGGAGAAAAGAAGGAAGACATACAGGGGGAGCCCAGGCACCTCCTTCCTGCATGACCTCGTGTTGTAGCAAGTGCAGGTATGCAGGTTCTTGACCTCAAGAGTCAAGATTAAAAGGAAGGGGCTGATATGACCCAGCAATACCTTTTCTGGGAATACACCCTGGGGGCCAAACAACGCACTGCAGAAAAGTCATCTGCACTCCTGTGTTCACTGCAGCACTATTCACAATAGCTAAGTCTGGAAATAACCTAAGTCCTCAAGAATAGATGACAGGATAAAGAAACTATGGTGCATCTATACAATGGAATACTACGCAGCCACCAGGAAAAAATGAAGTCATGAAATTTGATAATAATTTAGTGGACATGGAGAGTATCATGCTGAGTGAAATAAGTCAGAAGGAAACAGGGACAGATATATAATATTTGCACTCATTTATGGGATGTAAAAAAATAGTATAAGACCAATACCCAATGACAGTAGAAATGAAGACCAAAAAAAAAAACTGGTTTACGGTTGGGAGCTTTCCACAAATGAGGAGGTGGGAGAGAGAGAAGTTATGATAGAGTGGGGAACATTTTGACAGTGATAGTTGAAAACGATGGCTCTGGACAAGAACTGAATGTTGAAAGGAGGTCAAGGGGTGGCTATACATGATAATCTTTCAGTACTTGTATTGCAAATCATATGCCCAAAAGAGAAAGAGAAAGAAAGACAGAGGAGAGAGAGAGAGAGAGAGAGAGAGAGAGAGAGAGAGAGAGAGAGAGAGAGAGAGAGCGGAAAGCCAGGAACTAGAGATCAAATGGCTGAATTCAGAATAACAGTTTATTTAAAGGAAGGCAGGGAGACTCCCAGATTATGGGAGGGGTCCTAACGAAGGATTTGAGAGAAAGGCAGCAGCTTTCCCCTTTTATGCCCTGTTTTATTTTTATTTTTATTAGTGAAACACCATGAGGTACAGTTGTAGACTTACAATTTTTTGTGCTTGGGTTTCAGTTATACAATGATCAAATACCCATCCCTCCACCAGTGCCCATTTTCCACCACCACGGATCCCAGTACCCCTCCCATCCCCCATCCCCCCATCCCACCCTGCCTCTGTGGCAGGGCATTGCCTTTTGTTTTCTCTCTCCTTTTGAGTGCTGTGGTCTGCAAAAGAGGCATTGAGTGGCAATCATGTTTGGTCTATTAACAAACATGGGAGGGTGAGCGTTTCTTCATGATGCTGCAGGATGCTGGCTGTTTCCACAGAGAGGATGCAGAAACAATTCTCTTCTGGCATCAGGAGTCCACAGGGTCCAGCTCATCCTGCTTTTCAGGCCCCACTGAGGCCGAAGGCATGAACTTCCATTCCTAGGAATACCTGTCTTTAGGCCCATACCCCTAATCTCACCCAGCCTATGCATCTTTTGCTCCCATCACTCCCAGGCCTGCATGTCCACAGTGTGCCAGGTGGAACCTGGGCACGGAAGCCACCCAACAACAGATGAAGCACTTTACCAAGAGCACGTGACATGAAAGGAAAACTTCATTTCTTCCTCACCTTTTTCAGGTTCAGAGACACATTCATTATTCCAACTTGGACAAATTACCTGTTAACTGATAAGGGCAAAGAGAAGCTTGGGTCGGCATTCCCGTTGACTTCAAGGTTCTGAGTTTCCAGGAAGACCTTGGAAGACCTATTGCTGGCAGATAAATAGGGGACCAGGGAATGAGCTTTTGAGGAATAATAAAACAAAAAATTGCCCAGCCCCGAAGTAGCTGAAAGGCTGGAGGAACACATCCCTCTGAGATGCGAATCCTCAAGACTTCCTTACTCCTGGCTCTGCATTCAGGGATCACTCCTGGCAGGCTCAGGGGACATATGGGGTGCCAAGGATGGAAACCAAATAGGCTGTATGTAAGGCAAGTACCCACTGTATTATCTCTTTAGCCATCACATCTTTTTCCTTTTCCCTTTAAGATTTTAGACCACAACCCACCGAACCTTACCCCTGATTCTGTGCTCAGCAATCACTCCTGGCAGTGCTCAGGGGACCATAGCAGGTACCAGGGATTGAACTTGGGTTGGATCTATGCAAGGCAGGCATACTGCCTGCTGTATTCTCTCTCTGGCCCTCCTGTGTCAGAATTCTTGAGGACAAATGCTGGGACCAGGAGCAGCAGGAACGGGAACTGATCATCCTGTTTGCTCTTTGTGAAAAATACTCAGTCCCAGACCCCACCTTAGACAGGTCAAATGACCGGGTCTCACCCAGGGAGATGTGACAGCAACACTGCATATGCTGAGTCCATGCCGCCCTGTCTCAGGCTTTTTGCTTCTTTCCATTCCAGACCCTGAGCCCAGAGCAGACTGTCGACATCACTCGGTTCATAGTACTCACATGGCTCCCCTTACCCTCCTCCAAGCCCTGTAGCATGTGACTCTCCGGGACAATTTTGAGCCCCTTGATTCTAATCAGGAATGTTAACTTGAAAAAACACTGATGGTGACCAGAGTGATAAGGACAGCGGGTATGGCGCTTGCCTCACAGGTAGTCAACATGGATCATGGGTTTGAGCCCTGGCATCTCATGTGGTTCCCTGAGCACCACCAGGAGTGATTCCTGAAAGCACAGCCTCGCAAACCCTTTCAGCATCACTGGGTGTGGCCTCCAAGGCAAACCAAACCAACGAATGAAACAAACAAACAAACAAACAAACAAAAATACAGGGGCCAGAGAGATAGTACGCAGGGCACCGGGCACTTGCCTTGCATGTGGCTGACCCTGGTTTGATCCTCAGCCTAAGCACTACCAGGAGTAATTCCGGAATGCAGAGCCAGAAGTAACCCCTGAGTGTTGCCGGGTGTTACCCCCAAACCAAAACTGAACAAAAAACAAAGAAAAGCATTGCCTTGTTTCTGGTTTTGTGTTGTTCCTCTGCAATTATCTTTAAACCATGCCAAAATGACACTGGAAAATTAGGAAGGTCATCACCCTGCAAACCCCCATGTGTGCAGAAAAAAAACTACCAAGACCCAAGAGACCACCCAACCAAACCCAACCAAATGCTGCCTCAGAATCAGGAGCTAATGCAATGCTTACACCATTTTTATTAGCGAAGTGAAACCCACACCGAGATCTCAGGTTTCCTTATTCTCTAGATGATCTGCCATTTCAGAACACAGGTCTCTCTACTTAGACCTCTGGGAGACCTGGGCAGAGGGGAAATAATAAACAAGTCTAACAAAAGGGATGGCGTTTAGTCTCCAGGCCAAAGACATGAAGTACTCGTGGGTCTTGCGGAACCCCAGGCGCTCATAGAGACCCAAGGCCGCATACTGTACTGTGGTGGTGATGAGGACAACCGCCTTGTAGCCCTGGTCCTGTCCGAACTGGAGTACAGTCCTCACCAGGGCCTTGGCTATGCCCTGACCTCGGTGCACTGGATGCACGCACAGGTGGAAGAGCTCTAGGTGCTCCCTGTGCAAGGCGGGTTCCTTCGCGGGCAGAGCCCCCACCGTGCCCAACACCCGGCCCTGGGACTCAGCCACCCAGAAGCAGGAGCCACACCCGCTCAGATAGTGTTTGCTGATGTCAGACATGTCACTGCTCAAAGCCATGACTTTGAACTGCAGCCAAGGAACCTTGCCAAAGTTCTTCAGGGCAGCGAAGAGCAAGAGGCCAGCCAGGAGGGTCAGAGGCCAGGAGCCAGTGAGGAGGAAGATGGCCAGCGGCCCTCCAAGGAGGAGCGCCAGGGTGCGGGGCAGCTTCAGCAGGTGGTGCGAGCTGGTGAGGGCGTGTTCGGCCATGGAATCTGAGAACAAGTCCATGACCTGCTTGTGGTCCCGGTCCTGGTATTGGCGGATGTAGTAAGACACCATGGACATCCTCCAGAGCTGACTGTCCAAGTCTGTGTGACCGTGAGAAGTGTCGCTGAAGCTGTGTGGAGTTGGGAGCCCAGTCAGTCCCCAGCGTCTGTCTCTGCCCCCGCCCCACTCCTGGTGATTCTCTCTCTGCTGCTGAGGGAGCAATACCTCGGCTACCGCAGGACTGGAACCTGTTGTGGAACCCTGTGCCATGCCTGTCTGTGGGCCCCTGGGACCCACTCTGAACCTCTCTGGGCCTTTTAGGACATGGTAGGAGGTTGGCAGAGGTGGGGGGGCATATTTATTTATTTATTTATTTATTTTGGTTTTAGGGTCACACCTGCCAATGCTCAGTGCTTACTCCTTGCTTGGCACTCACAAATTCTTCCTGGCAGTGCTGAGGGGACCATATGTGATGCCAGGGATCATCCAGGTGGGCTGCATGCAAGGTAAACACGCACCTGCTATACTGTCTCTCTGTCCCAGAGGTGATGTGTTTAAGCAGCTGCGGAGCCCTCAAAGCCAATCATTAGCCATGGCCCGGCCTGAGCGTGAGGACGGGCAGGCCCAGCCCCACCATGCCCTGCCCCGTGTCCTCTCACCTGCCACCAGAGAAGACTGGACTGCCTAGAGTAGCTGCGTCCTGGATGTCCTCAGCCTCCGGCCTGCATCCACGACACTGTCCAGGGCCACCTGGATCTCAGGGACCAGGATGCGACCGTATGTTCATTGGCTGGGCCTGACCGCTGGCAATCTTAAACCTTAGGAGGGTGTGGACTGCAGCTGGGCCCATCCCCTTTATCTTCTTGGGCCACCAGGGAGAACCTGAAGGATGATGCCAGGCCTGGGGCAGCTCCAGGTCCTCTGCCCTGTGGAACCCTTTAACCCTTGTGAGTTCTGCCTGCAGGGGCCCACTGACCCCTGGCAGGCCCTGATGTCCACTCTAGGCCAAGCCATGTTCCTGAGCCCTGTGGGGTGCACCCCATCCCTCTCTGGGGTGTCAGGCACCCTGGCCAAAGTCCGGGCTCTTTCCTGTCCAGCTCCCCATGCTCAGAAGCTGGATTCTCCTCCCTGTGTTGGCTTCCCAGCCTGGCCTCCACTCGTCACTCTCCTGGGCCTCACCTGTCTGCTGCCCCCATACCAGGCTGGGCCTCTTCCAACAGCAGGGGTGACACCGGCTGGTGACTGCAGCACAGAGCAGCTGCCATGTGTCCTTGGGATCACACTCGCCAGACACGATGGACAAGAGCAACAGCGAGCCGGGCGTGGCCCTTCCTGAGATGTCCATGTGCTGTCGGGAGGGCAAAGCCTCCGTCAGACCTACCCAGACTCCTCACCCTGGGTTCTCCCTGGCACTTAGCACCATCATCCTCAAGCTTTTTTTTTTTTTTGGCTTTTTGGGTCACACCCGGCGATGCACAGGGGTTACTCCTGGCTCTGCACTCAGGAATCACTCCTGGCGGTGCCCGGGGGACCATATGGGATGTTGGGAATCAAGCCCAGGTTGGCCACATGCAAGGCAAATGCCCTACCTGCTGTGTTAATGCTCCAGCCCCCACCCTCAAGCTTTTCTGTGAAATGTCTGTCTCCTGTGAGCATTGGAGCAGGACAGACAAAGTGCTGACAGGAGTTCCTGCAGCCAGGACCTACAGGGACACAGGGGACAGGACATGAGACACAGCTCCACCTTGCCCCACGATGACAGGGGTGGCACCTGTGAGCCTTCCTGGGAGCTCCCGGACAAAGGCTGGGGAGGTCTCCTCCTGCCTCTTCCTCTTTGCTCCCATCACTCCCAGGTCTGCATGTCCACAGTGTGCCAGGTGGATCCTGGGCACGGAACCCACCCAACAACAGATGAAGCATTTTACCAAGAGCACGTGACATGAAAGGAAAACTTCATTTCTTCATCACCTTTTTCGGGTTCAGAGACACATTCGTGATTCCAACTTGGACGAATTACTTGTTAACTGTAACTGAAACTTGTTAAGGTGTTAACTGTAAAGGGAAGTTTGGGTCAGCATTTCTGGCTTCTTTCCTGCTGGCTGCAAGGTTCTGAGTTTCTGGGAAGACCTGGAGAGCCCCGTGGTGTTTCACAGTAGGGATCCTGATAATGAGTCTTTGGGGAATAATGAAACAAGAAATTGCCCCACCAACACATCCTTTTTTGATGCAAATCCTCAGCTCCTGGGAACTGGAGAACCACTCAGATGCAGAAACTGAGGTACTACCCAGAGAAGAGTGGACCCTCTGGAAAAAGAGAAGCTACAGAAGAATCTAAAGGTCATGATAAAAATATAAAAGCAAGACTAGAACAATAGTATGGTGTGTAGGGCACTCGCCTTGCATATGGCCATCCTGGGTTCGTTCTCCAACATCCCAGATGGTTCCTCAAGCAGTGCCAGGAGTAATTCCATATTGCACAGCCAAGATATCTGCTTTTACCACTCTGGAAAAACTTGCAAGTATTATCACTCCCTTTCTCCCCCCCCCCTTTTTTTGAGGTGGGGAGATGGCTTTTGGGCCATACCCACTGCACTCAGGCATTACTCCTGGCGGTGCTCAGGGGACCATATAGGATGCCAGCAATTGAACTGTGTCAGGCATGTGCACTACAAGTACCCTATCTGCTGTTCTATGACTCTGTCCCCTTGAAGAATTTTTTTTTTTTGGAGGCAGAGTGATGGTACAGCAGATAAAGCATTTTCTTGCATGAGACTGCACAAGGCTGATCTGGGTTTGATCCTGCATACAGTCCCACGAGTCCCCCCCAGGTGTGATCCCTGAGCACAGAGCCAGAAATAAGGAGATCTCCAGGTCACCTGTCCGCATGTGAATCTTGGACCCTGGCCTTCTCCCCTGGTCAACTCTCCATGAGTCACCACTTGAGCACTGTGAGATGTAAACCAGAAAAACAAAACAAAACAAAATTTCTTTTGTCAATAAAACTATTCTACCTCACTGTTCTGCCTTTTCCGTCTTTTCTGCAGGGAAGACAACACTCCTGGGATGCCTGTGTGGAGATTAGCACTGGCAAGAGCAAATCCTTGCTCCAGCCTGCGTGCAGACTCCTTAAGAACCTGAGTGCAGAGCAGGTGGACTCCAGACGCAGCTGGATGACTGCCTTGAAGGTTCAGCAGATGCGCACATCCGTATGGCAGAGGTGCTCAGAGCAGACATCACCAGTCCCGGCCCACACCAGGCAGGTCCTGACGTGGCTTAGGTGAGTGGTTCAAAGAGGCGAAAGCACTGATTTCTTGAGACCTCTTCTCTCACAACCCACTTTACCAGGCCACCCGCAATGACACCGCTTCTATCTGACTTCCTAGAAAATCAATGTTGTCTGCATGACTCAAAGTACTCAATCTTGAACAACTTTGCAATTGTGTATTTGCAACTGCCTATTTGCAACTTTGCAACTTTGCAACAGTTATTCAATTAAAAATTAAAAACCAATTTCTTGTCCTTGCTAGCTGAATCTTCAGTTTAACTTCCAGTTACTCTTGGACCAGGATCTTGGCCAGATCCGGGAACACTCAAACACCGTCTCCAGCACTCCAAGTACTTTTCTAGCAGCCGCCGTAGCCCCGAGCAGTGAGTGTGGCTTTGCACCTGGCTAGTCCTGTAGCAGGAGCACACCTGAACAGCCAGGCCTCTCCCCGCAGGCGGAGTCCATCACACCTAACCTGGACAGCCAAACACAGAAGAGACACCAACTCCTCCTCCCCTGAGGGGAAGCACGGGCTTATGGCAGGCTGGCCACCCTGTTGAGTTGAGAAGGAAACTGCTGATTTTATTGTTTTGCAGGCTACATGCTCACGTTAGTTAACATTGAATCCGATCCAGGTAACTTCCTGCTGCTGGTCTGGGGGTTGCACGTTGAGGCGGGGGGAGGGGGCTCCAGAGCTGTAACTGCCAGCATGGAAGGAGGGTGAACTGCTCCCCTCAGCTCAGAAGGTCGTTTCCCAGCCCAGTGATCCCACCTCAGTGTGGCCATGCAAGAGCACCCAGCTGCCTTCACTCTATCCAGGAAAGCGGGGGTGGGATGAGACAGCTCAGGCAGAGACGAGAGCATGAGCCAAGGCTTCAAAGCACGTGGAGAATGGTGCTTTCCAGAAACTAGAAGCTCAGTGCACTGCGAGATAAGTGCAGGGGCCGTTGCAGGGCATGCACAAGCTTCATTCCTGCGCAGAAGGTTCTAGAACACAAACCCTTCCTCTCTGTGATGCCTCCAGCATCGAATGAATTGTGTGGCGTTTTCGTGACCTCTTACATGCACTTTACAGCTGCCCTGGCCCTGGTGACAACAAATCCCTTCTTGACCCCTCTTTAGACCTCAGGTAATTCTCTAGATAGCCAAGAACTGGTTGGTCTGGAACAAAAACAATCATTTTATTGTGATCTAGTAAATCACTCAAACTCTTTGAGTGGCACCAGTGGACCTCCCCGGTCTTGGGCATGGCACAGCACCCTGCAGGGAGTGCCTCCTGGCAGGGGGAGGGGTCGAGGCCCCAGCATGAGTCAATAGCCACAGTGTGGACCCAGGAGGCAAAAGTACCTTATGGGTGATAGGTAGGTAAGGAGCTCTGTAACCCGCTGCTTGAATAGCTGACATCCAAGAGCACAGGGCAGGTTGGCAGACAGCAGCCTGCAGAACTATGGGCCTGGCACAGGACACAGTGGATGAGAAGCAGGACCAGGGAGAGACAGAAGGGGGGAGTTGAGTTGGGGGAATCTTGGCAATTAAAATATGGCAAAGCACTATTCACCATAGACAGAATCTGGAAACAACCCGAATGCCCAAGAACAGAAGAATGAATGGATAAAGAAACTATGGCAACATCTACACAATGGAATACTATGCAGCTGTCAGGAAAAATGAAGTCATAAAACTTGCCTATAAGTGGATGGACATGGAGAGTATCATGGTGAGTGAAATGAGTCAGAAGGAAAGGGACAGATATAGAATAAAGGCATTCATTTGTGGTATATAAAAATATATATAGAGTAAAAGAATAATATCCATGGCCAGGGAAAACAGGGGTTGGAAAGACTGGTTAATGGTTGGAACTAACCACAAGTAAGTGTGGAACTGAGTGTAGGAACGATAGAGAAGAAACTGCTATGGCAATAATAGCTGGGAATGATCACGCTGGACAAGAGTTGAGAGTTAAAAGTAGGTAAGGGATATTCTGGATAACCTTTCAATACCAATATTGCAAACCACAGTGCCTCAAAGGGGGGGGGGGGGGGGAGAGAGAGAGAGAGAGAGAGAGAGAGAGAGGAAAAGTGCCTGCCATAGGTGGGGGGTAAGGGGAGGGAACCTGAGGACACTGGTGCTGGGAAATGTACACTGGTGGAGAGATGGGTGGTGGAATATTGTATGACTGAAATCCAATCATGAACAGCTTTGTTAAAAAAAAAAGGAATATTAAATAAAATAAAACAAATAAAAAAGGAAAAACATATTGCAGAAATCTGTTGGATGGGTGAAAGGTCTCACTTGGGAAACTGTGCAGTATGTGCCAGCTGGCAGGCCTGCTTGTGTGTTGCTGGCAGAGGAAAGAGAGGTGTGTGGGGACACTGCGGGTCAGAGAGGCCAGAACATGGCTGCATATCTCACCATCAGCCTGTAGGGGGCCACCCTTGAGTCATTTCAGGAACCCAGTGAGAGGCTCCAGACCTCCAATGCAGTGCACCCAGTACTGGTGAAGGTCCTAGTGTCACCACTAGCCGCTGCTCCTCTATCAGATTCTCCGCCCCCCCCCCCCCCCCCCCCCGCCCCGGCTTTATCTAAACACCATGGTTTACAAAGTTGTTCACGACGGTTCGGTTTTTGTTTGCTTGTTTGTCTTTTGTTTTTTGAGTCATACCCAGTGATGCGCCGGGGTTTTCCTGGTTTTGTTTGCGCTCACGAATTACTTCTGGCAGTGCTCAGAGCACCATATGGGATGCCAGGGATCGAACCCGGGTCGAACGCATGCAAGTCGAATACCCTTCCTGCTATACTAACGCTCCAGCCCCCACGGTGATTTATTACAGGCATTCGATATTCCAACACCAGTCCTGCCACCACTGTCACCTTCCCTCCACCAATGTATCAGCATTCCTTTTCTTTTTTAGGTTTCTGTCTTGTGGCCACACCAGGTGTGTGCAGGGCTTACTTACTCCTGTCTCTGCACTCATGGATCACCCCTGGATGGCTCAGGGAACCATATGGGATGCCAGGATAGAAACCAAACCAGCTGCGTACCCTGCCACAGAGGCAGGGTGGGATGCGGAGATGGGGGGTGGGAGGGATACTGGGATCAGTGGTGGTGGAGAATGGGCACTGGTGGAGGGATGGGTACTCAATCATTGTATAACTGAAACCCAAGCACAAAAATTTTTAAGTCTACAACTGTACCTCATGGTGTTTCACTGATAAAAATTAAAAAAAAAAAAAAGAAACCAAATCAGCTGCATGTAAGGCAAGAGCCTAACCCACTGTACTCTTTCCAGCTGCAAATTCCTTTCTTTTTCTTTTTCTCCTTTCAGTTTTTGCACCACAACCTGCCATACTCAGATCCTACCCCTGGCTCTGCTCAGCGACCATTACTGGCAGTGCTCAGGGGCCATAGGCAGTGCCAAGGATTGTACCTGGGTTGGCTTCATGCAAGACAAGCATGCTGCCTGCTGTATCATCTTTCTGGCCCTCCTGTATCAGAATTCTACAGGGACAAAGAAATCAAGCTTGAGTTGCCCGTATACATGGGAGGCCAAAGGCTGGGAGCAGGAGTGGCAGGTATGGGAACCGACCATCCTGTTTGCTCTTTGTGAAAATGCTCAGTCCCAGACTCCACCGTAGGCAGGTCACATGACCGGGTCTCAGCCAGGGGGATGTGACGGCAACACTGCAGATGCTCAGTCCATGCCCCCCCCCCCCCCCCCCCCGTCTCAGACTTTCTGTTTCTTTCCATTCCAGACCCTAAGCCCAGAGCAGACAAACTGTGGACATCACTCAGCCCGTCCTACTCACATGATCCCCCTTGCCCTCCTCCATGCCCTGTAGCACGTGACTCTCTGGGACCATTTTGAGCCCCCTGATTCTCATCAGGAATGTTAACAGACACAGCAACCTGCAGAGCCTTGAAAAAACACTGATGGGGACCAGAGTAATATGACAGTGGGTATAGTGCTTGCCTCACAGGTAGTCAACATGGATTATGGGTTTGAGCCCTGGCATCTCATATCGTGCCCTGAGCATCACCAGGAATGATTCCTGAATGCACAGCCTGGAAAAACCTTGAGCACTGAAGAGTTTGGCCCCCAAACCAAATCAACTAACCAATTTCTTTTTTTTTTTAAAAAAAAAAAAACAGGGGCCAGAGAGATAGTACAGCAGGCAGGGCTTTTGTCTTGCACCCTGGTTCTATCCTCTAAGCACTGGTCCCCTAAGCACTGCCAGGAGTAATGCCTAAGCATTGCTGGGTATTGTCCCCAAACCAAAATCACACCAAAAACAAAAATATCCCCCATTGTCTTGCTTCTATTTTGTTTGTGGCGTGAAATTATTTTCAAACCATGCTAAAAACATGCTGGAAAATCAGGAAGGCTATCACCCCACAAACCCTGATGTATGTACCAGAAGATTACCAAGATACAAGTAACCGCCCAACGTGCCTCGGACTCATGAACTAATGCAATGCTTACACCATTTTTATTAGCAAAGTGAAACGCACACTGACATCTCGGGTTTCCTTATTCTCTGACTGATCTGCCGTTTCAGAGCACGGGTCTCTCTCTACCTAGACCTGTGGGAGACCTGAGCAGAGGGGAAATAATAAGCAAGTCTAACGAAAGGGATGGCGTTTAGTCTCCAGGTCAAAGAGTAGAAGTACTCATGGGTCTTACGAAACCCCAGGCTCTGGTAGAGGCCCAGAGCTGCGTACTGCACTGAACTGGTGCTGAGGACAACTGCCTTGTAGCCCTGGTCCTGCCCAAACTGGAGGACAGTTCTCACCAGGGCCTTGGCTATGCCCTGGCCTCTGTGTGCTGGATGCATGCACAGGTGGAAAAGCTCTAGGTGATCCCCGCACAGGGTGGGCTCCTCCACAGGCAGAGCCCCCACCGTGCCCACCACCCGGCCTTGGGACTCAGCCACCCAGAAGCAGGAGCCTTGCCCGCTCAGGTAATATTTGCTGATGTCAGACATGTCGGTGTTCAAAGCCATGACCTTGAACTGCACCCAAGGAACCTTGCCAAAGTACTTCAGGGCAGCGAAGAGCAAGAGGCCAGCCAGGAGGGTCAGAGGCCAGGAGCCAGTGAGGAGGAAGATGGCCAGCGGCCCTCCAAGGAGGAGCGCCAGGGTGCGGGGCAGCTTTAGCAGGTGGCGTGAGCCGGTGACGGTGAGTTCGGTGATGGTCTCCGAGTACAAGTCCACGACCTGCTTGTGGTCCCGGTCCTGGTATTGGCGGATGTGGTAAGATGCCATGGACATCCTCCAGAGCTGACTGTGCAAGTCTGTGCGACCGTGAGAAGTGTCCGTGAAACTGTGTGGAGTGGGGAGGCCGGTCAGTCCCCAGCATCTCTGCCCCCGCCCCACTCCTGGTGATTCTCTCTCTGCTGCTGGGGGAGCAATGCCTCAGTCACTGCAGACCGGGACCTGTTGTGGAATCCTGCGTTGTGCCTGTCTGTGGGCCCCTGGGCCCCTCGCTGAACTTCTCTGGGCCTCTTTGGGAACAAGACAAAAGAAAACCTTGTGGGCCAGATAGATAAATGCCAGTGCATAAGGTATTTGCCTTGTACACGGCCAATCCCAGTTCAATCCCTGTACCACATACTCCGAGTCAAACCAGAAATAAGCCCTGAGCACAAAAACACAACTTGTCATCTTGGGCATTTGCGAGAGGCAAACCCCTTCCCCCCTTTACAAGTCTGTCTCGGCCTCTTGGGATAGTATGGGGTGCACCCTGCAGCTGCCACCCTGCGTGTCCCCTCCTGTGCCTCTCTCCCAGCACCCACAGGTCAGGAATCAGCCTTTGTTCCCAGCACAAGGCTCAGCAGGGCCCTTCCAGAGGTGGAGGAGTACTTCTTTATTTTGTTTTTTGGCCAATGGTGTTTTTTTTTTTTTTTTTTTTTTTTTTGTGGTCAATCCTCAGGGCTTACTCCTGCCTCGGCACAGGAATTGCTCCTGGTGGTGCTCACAGGACCATATGGGATGCCAGAAACCACCCGGGTCGGCCACATGCAAGCAGACACCATACTTGCTGTATTGTCTCTCTGGCCCAGAGGTGGCATTTTAAGCAGCTGCAGAGCCACCAAAACCAAATACCAGGCCTGACCTGAGCGTGAAGACGTGCAGGCCCAGCCCCACCATGACTCTCACCTGCCACCACCACAAAAGTCTTGACTGGACTGCTAGAGCCGCTGCGTCCTGGATGTCCTTAGCCTCTGATCTGCATCCACGACTGCCCAGGGCCTCCTGGACCTCAGGGAACCAGACTGTAGCTGTGCCCTCATTGGCTGGCCCTGACCTGCAATCATAAACCTCATGAGAGTGTGGACTGCAGCTGGACTAGGTCACCTCTGGGTCAACCCCCCTTTCTCTTCTTGGGTCACTAGGGAGAGCCAGGCCTGGAGCAGCTCCAGGTCCTCTGCCCTGTGGACACCCTTTAACCCTTGTGAGTTCTGCCTGCAGGGACCCACTGACCCCTGGCAGGCCCTTATGTCCACCCTAGGCCGAGCCATGCTCCTGAGCCCTGTGGGGTGCACCCACCCCTCTCTGGGGTGTCAGGCACCCCAGTCAGAGTCTGGGCTCTTTCCTGTCCAGCTCCCTGTGCTCAGAAGCTGGATTCTCCTCCCTGTGTTGGCTCCCCCCTGGCCTCCACTCAGTCACTCCCCTGGGCCTTGCCTGTCTGCTGCCCCCGTGCCAGGCTGGGCCTCTCCCAACAGCAGGGGTGACACTGGCTGGTGGCTGCGGCACAGAGCAGCTGCCGTGTGTCCTTGGGGCCACACCTAGGCAGACACGATGGACAAGAGCAACAGCAAGCTGGGAATGGCCCTTTCTGAGATGTCCATGTGTTGTCGGGAAGGCAAAGCCTCCGTCAGACCTTCCCTGAGTCTCTCCCAGACTTGGTAGCTCCTCACCCTGGGTTCTCCCTGGCACTTACCACCGTCACCCTCAAGCTTTTCTATGAAACATCTGTCTCCTGTGGGCATTGGAGCACGACCGAAAAAAAGTGCTGAGGCGGGTTCTTGCAGCCAGGACCCTATAGGGATATGAGGGAATGGGGCATGAGCCATAGATCACCCCCTCTGGTGACAGAGGTGGCTTCTGTGAGCCTTCCTGGGAGCTCCTGGGGACAGGTTTGGTTGAGAAGGAAAGGCAATGGCATTTTTAAATTTTCAAATGGAAAGATCTCTGGGTTCTCCTTTGACCAAGTTAGCACACTTTATGTCACCAGTGATGGAGCCAACTAACAGGGGTGCCTCCTTAGGACATGCAATGGGAAGTGGGGGGAGGGAGCACCAAGGCTCTTATTGCCTTCAAATATTTCAACTACCAGTGACAAGTCAGGATTTTTGTGTGGAAGTCTGAAATAATTGAGGTAAAGTGTCACGATGTTTACAGCTTTCTTTCAAATAGCTCAGCAAAATAATTGCTGAGATCTAGAGGTAGATAAAGAAATAAAACAATGAAAGCAAGCAAATATAGCAATGCTGGTTGTTTCTTATCATGGGGATATTATGTCCTTGTCTGAGGTTTTCCTAAGCTGTTGTTGGAAGTTAAGGCTTCTGTGTTCATAGTTTTGTTAGTGGACACGGGCATGATATCCCATCCGATCTGGTGGGCTACTGTGTTGTCAGTGTTGTACAGTTTTGGACATGTTGCGTTGCCATGAATACTGCCATGTGCTCCATAAAGTCTAGACTATTTAGCTTGGCATTTAATTGGGCCATTAAATATTTAAATGGATGTAGCTACTGGGTTTTTGGGAAGTTAGGGGAGGTAACCCACTGTGACTGGGAAGACCTGGGGTTTTCAGCCACAAAGACCAGGTAATTGGAGTTTTCTACAGAAATTTTTTTTCTTTTTGGGTCACACCCGGCAATGCACAGGGGTTACTCCTGGCTTATGCACTCAGGAATGACTCCTGGTGGTGCTCAGGGGACCATAGGGGATGCTGGGAAATGAACCCGGGTAGGCCGTGTGCAAGGCAAATGCCCTACCCGCTGTGCTATCACTCCAACCCCTGGAAATATTTTTTTGATCATTCTGTTAGCTATTTAATATTAACAAGCAATATAAAATAAATATTGTAGGCCTGCTACAGAGGTGGTTTGGGAAATGGAGACAGTGGTGGAGGGAAGGGAACAGTGGTGGTGGGATTAGTTGGAATACTGAATGCCTGTAATAAATCATCAGGAACAACTTTGTAAACCATGGTGCTTAATTAAAGTCAGGGACAGGTACAGGAATGCTCATACGTTCTTTTCAATTATTTTGTGGGTTCAAATATTTTCTTAAGTAGACTTGACTATTTTTTCACTTAGGGTTGAATGGACACTAAATCTGTAGTTTCCAACACAGAAAGTTCCTGCCAGTTATTGCTGCTCAACACCTGGCCCACCTAAATCATGCAGTGACTCTATCATAAATATTGAGATATTATCACAAATGCTTATTTCCAACTTAGCAGTTAATAAAATATTTCTGTAAGTCTATAGGTATTAACAAGTTGAAAAACATTGTGCTAAATAGGACATATACTTAATTCATTACATGCAAAGTTCAGTATGTAATTTATTATTTGTGATCATGAGGGAAATCATTAGTATGTTCCCTAAGTATTTTCACCTCCCCATGTTCAGGATCACACTTCTCTACCCTTTAAGTTTAGTCCAATTCTGTGACTGTCCTTGGCCAATAAAACATAAGGTAAGGGGCATCTGTCACTTCTACATGGAAGCTTTAAGAAGCACCATAATTCTGTGTTCCCTTCCTGCTGTGTAGAGGCTGCGGCTGAGAGGAAGCCTTCAGCACACCCGTTCCTCAGTTACTGTCGTCACTCCTTCAACTGATTCCCGCTGGCTCTGTCCAATGAGCAGGATACAATACTTCTTTTCCCTAAGGAGCGAATTAGCTTTAAGGACCATTAGCCTAACCTAGTCCAGAAGGTCACAGCTGTGACACTTGGGTTAACTCCTGACTACCACTTGTTCTCCTAACAATGTTCTACTGAGGGTAAGAGATAGTAGAGGGGCCAATATGCTTGCCTTGCACATAGTTGACCCAGATCCCTGGCTCAGCATATATTCCCCCAAGAACCATCATGAGTGATTCCTACCCACAGCCAGGTAGTGATTCCTACCCACCCCCAAAGGACAATGTCTTACTGAAACACAGCCATGCTGATTACTGATAAACTGTCTGTGGATGCTTTTGTATGATGACAGCACATCTGAGTAGTTGCAATAGAAACACTGTGATTCAGAAAGGCAAAAATATTTACTGGATCAACTATTTATAAAATATCACTCTAGGGGCTGGAGCAATAGCACAGTGGGTAGGGCATTTGCCTTGCACGTGGTCGATCTGGGTTCAATCCCCGGCATTCCATATAATCCCCCAAGCACTGCCAGGAGTAATTCCTGAGTGCAGAGTCAGGAATAACCTCTGAGCATTGCCGGGTGTGACCCCCCCAAACAAAAACAAAAACAAAACATCACTCTATACTAGGTGGATGACCTAGGGAAAAATAAAGTTTTATAATCTTTTATCAGAGTATAGGAGTATAAAATAGGAGTAACAGTATCTGTCTACCTTAAAAGGTGTTGTGAGATGAAATGAATTCTTGCATATAAAACATTTGGAACTAGTTAGGAAGTGGAATGCTGAAGAAGCAAGATGTGCAGACAGGGACAGGAATGGAGGAATGGGAAATCACTAAGCCAAGAACCTAGTACATTGAAGACATCAAGAAATGTTGCTGGGGCTGGAGTGATAGCACAGCGGATAGGCCATTTGCCTTGCATGCGGCTGACCCAGGTTCTATTCCCAGCATCCCATATGGTCCCCTGAGCACCGCCAGGAATGATTCCTAAGTGCAAAGCTAGGAGCAACCCCTGAGCATCACCGGACTTGTCCCAAAAAGCAAAAAAAAAAGAAAGAAATGTTGCCATTTATTGTCCTAATTACAAATATACACATATATGTATACATATATAGTTAAACAGAAATAGAAAACTGGAAAACATAAAACAAAAATAAATGTAGTTCTTAAATTTTTAAGAGGTATGACTTAGGAGTGTATGTTCTTTTTCATACATTATTTTAAAATTTTTTCTATAATAATTATAATCATGAAAATTATTTTATAAATTCTAAAAATTTTGTTAACATTTCCATCATTTCACAAAACATCTTTTGTTGACATTCTACAAATGATACCATCCAATAATGTCCCAGTACTTTCTTCTTGAGAAGTTAGTTTATATATCTGTAAAAAGAAAAGGCAAATTATTTGACATAGTGATATATTCCTGTACTAATTTTCTTTTTTCTCTTTTCTGGCCCACATCTGGCAGTGCTCAGGGTTTACTCTTGGCTCTGTGCTCAGGGATCACTTCTTGCGGTACTCAGGGAACTATTTGGGATGCCTGGGATCAAACCTGGGTCAGCTCATTACAATGCATATGCCCTACCTGCTGGACTATCACTCCAGCTACACTAATTTTCATAATAAAAAAACATATATAAGTGAAATTACTTACCATTCAATCACTGGATTAACAGTATGAATTCACAAATGTGATTAAAATATACAAAGTATGACAAATTCATCACTATCAGAAGTTTCAATCTTTCACCTTCCTTCTTTCCCTCCCCCTTCCTTCCTTCTTTCCTTCCCTCCTTTCTTCCTCCCTCCTTACCTCCCTCCAACCCTCTATTTTAAAAATTACTTCATTCAAAAGCAAGTTTCCGTTCAAATAGCAATCGATAATTCTACACAAAGAAATAAAATGTATATAAATTTCAAAAACCTATCCTAGACATTATGTTTTATTTACTTTTTTTAATTCTTTTTTGATTTTTGGGCCATATCTGACAGAACCTGGGGCTAATTCTAGTTCTGTATTTGGAGGTCATTCCCACGGTTCTCAGGGGACCATATGGTGCTGGGGATTGGCACCAGGCCATTTGAATGAAAAGTACACATCCATCCTGTTGATGAATGCCATCTTTCTGGCTCTTAGGTTACATTTTTAATGTACTTCTGAAGGTTTTAGAGTATAGATACTTCAAATTATATATACTTTATTAGAGAATGCTTTTTGTTGTTTCTACTTATATTTTACATAAACCCGAATCTTCCAATTCTTTCTAGTATAATTTTCAAATAATTAAAAGTAACTGTCTGGAGCCAGAGAAAGAGTACAGTCAGTGTGGGTGGTGCTGCTTTGCAGGTGGCCAATCTGGGTTTAATCCATGGCACTGTGTATGGTCTCCAGACTCCTGCCAAAGAGTGATCCCTCAGAGCAGAGTCGGGAGTAAACTCTGAACACAGCTGGTTTGGTGACCCCAAACAAAGTAACTGTCAAATAATTATTGTTCAAGTAATCTTACATTACATTAGCCTTTCTTTAAAAAACATAGGAGTGGGGCCAGAGAGAGTACAGTAGGTTTGCATGTGACTGACCTAAGTTCAATCTCGGGCATCCCCTATAGTCTCCCACATTCCCTATAGTTTCCCAAGCAACACCAGGAGTGATTGCTAAGTGCAAAGGCAAGAGTAAACACTGAGCACGGCCGGGTGGGACCCAGAAACCAAAATTTAAATAAACAAATAAAATAAACATAGAAATGCTGGAACTAATTAAGCAAACACCATTATCATTCTAAAAATATGAGTATACACACCTTTTTTACTTCTGTAATATTTGTTACTTCAGGAAGATCTTTAAGAGAAATTTGTTGACCTTCTACCTGAGATATGAGGTATTCTTGATTTATCTGTTTGCCTCCCTCTTCAATGTAAACAATTAGAACCGAAGTATCATTTGCTGACATGCCAAATTTTTTCAAAGCCTCTGAAATCTGAAGGGAGGAAAAAAAGACAATAAAACAGTAGTTCCTGTATTTGAAACATCTCTCCATCTGCCCTCTTGCCTGATCAGATCATATATTTAAAATAACCTTAATGGTTCTCTCAGCCTGGAGTTTTTCTCTTGAATTGTCCTTTGTAACAGCTACTAGTTTTGTCTCTAGCAGTTCCTGCTTAAAACTATTCCAAGGGACCAAATCCAGACTTCTTGGTCTGACACATACACCCCTTTTCTCTGACCATCTTATCCACAAGCTCCTGCCTTCCAGAGAACCTGGACCACTCAGGGATCCTGCTGAACATTTATCATACTGCTCACACTGGCCTCTCAAGTGCCCTCCTCCTTCCGGGTGCATCATCTCTCCCACTGCACCTACGTCCCTACAGAATGAACTGCTGATCCTATGGGTTTGGCTTATTTTCATACCTCATTTACCTTAGGACACTTAAACATACATTGTCCATCTGCCTTTCCTGGGGCTATGTCTGCTGTGGCTGTTCCGCAAACTAAACAGAACAGGGACAAGTTCTACTGATGTTAACTGAATTAAATAGCTTTCCCCCCAAGTATCGGGGAATTCCATTTCCATTCATTTTAATAAACTTTCAAACATCTGTACTTTTTGTTTTTAGTGTCACATTTGGAGGTGCTTGGAGGTCGCTCTTGATACTGTCTGGGGGACCAAGTAATACCAGAGATGGAACCTGGGGTTCCAGCAGGCAGAGCATGTGCTCAGCCCATTAAGCTCTCTCTCTGGCCCAGCATCTGTGCTTTAAACCATGCCACAGGTTTCTTAACTTTTCTCTTGATATTAGTACCTACCTGTATCAGCAATGTGGGTAATAATATGAAAACTTCAGCGCGCGCGCGCACACACACACACACACACACACACACACACACACACACGGGTTGGGGATGTAGCTCCTTGTTAAAGCACTTGCCTTGAACGTATGAGATCCTGGGTTAAATTCCTGGTACCACAAAAATAAATAAATAAGGGGGCTGGAGAACAACCAGCCCCTGGTTAGATTGCTGGCATCCCATATGGTCCCCTAAGCATTGCCAGGAGTGATCCCTGAGCACTATGTTTCCTCAAAACCATAAATAAATTTCATGAGACAATTTCAGTGGTTTCCCAGTTTCTCACCCCCCCTTTTAAAAAAAGTGCCACATGCAATGCCTTTAGCACAAAAATGATCACTCCATCAGTAATCATACCAGAAACTCTACCTATACACTGGGTGTGTGAGTGAACATATGTTAAAGGCTGCTCTTGGTACAAGGCAGGCATCTGTTGAATGGAAAAGGCATGGAGTCTATCTTCAAGATAGACTGACATCTTTCCGAGTGACAGATGCTCAAGATTACACACAAATGTCCAAGCCAGCCAGTATTTAGATAGCTTTCAGAAGGATTTTCCTGGTTCTATATGGTAAGGTCAGAGCCTTACTAAATTTAATTCAACTTTTATTAATATGTAGAATGATTAGAGCTTATTTCCCTAGTAGGACAGAGTGCTAAACCTCAACTCAGCCAAAGCTTTTTTTCCACTATTATTTTGCTTTGTTACTAAAAGGTTTACAGAAATTTGATCTCCAACACAATACTAAGGAAGATCCGCGCTATCAAAATGAAGTCAAAAGAGATAAAGTGAGGAGATCCCGCATCAATTACATTGTTATTTGGGGAAAGGTTGAAAATAATTTCAGTAGACAGAGTTCTTGTCTTCATTTTTCCCAGTTTGTGGAGGTGAACTGCTTTGTTTGCTGCCACAAGTATCTGAAATGGATCGACAATCTGTCAAAGAGAAGAAAAAGAGTCACACAAGAGAATTTGGTGCACCCTGAAGAAATGTGCCCTCCTCACAGCAGCTCGAGGATTAGATTGTTTTACTTCATCACACACACACACAGACACACACAGACACACAGACACACACACACACACAATTCTACAAGCTCTATACTCTTAAATTAGTATCTCAAGGCCCTGGATGTTCAAGAGGCCATAGAACTTAAAGTTGTAAGGAACTTAAGTAGAAAAAATAATTTAAAACATTTTTCAAGAAAAACTACAGAAAAAGCCATATTCTAAACATTTAACCTGTATAATATTAACTAGCTGTTTCTCATAAACATTGTCTTCGTGAGATTCAGCTGTAGTCCAACCTTTCCACACTCACGGTTGAAGTCGGCCAGCATTTGTGCTGTTTGGCTAATGTTTGGTGTTATTAGAACGATGTCATCAGCAAAGCAGAGGTGGTGTAGTTGCCGACCATCTATCTTCACTCCTATTCCTTCCCATTCCAGTCGTTGCATGATGTTCTCGAGGGTGGCACTGAGGAGTTTCAGGGAAATGGTATCATCCTGCCGAACCCCTCTCTTGACATTGATGATCACTTCTTTGTAGAATGGTAAGATCCTGGTAGTGAATCCGTAATACAACTCACAGAGGATCCTGATGTATTGAGTTTGAATGCCCTGATTGGCTAGGGCTTCAATGACCACTTCCGTCTCAACAGAATCAAAGGCCTTCTTTAAATCAATGAACGTTAGACAGAGCGGCATCTTGAACTCCCGAGAAACCTCAATGGCCTTGGTTATCGTGTGGATGTGGTTGATAATGCTAAATCCTTTTCGGAACCCGGCTTGCTCGCATGGTTGTCCTTCATCTAGTGTTTTACCAATCCTATTCAGGATGACTCGAGTGAACAGCTTGTAGATGACAGACAATAGGCAGACTGGGCGACAGTTGCCAATGTTGTGGATGTCTCCCTTCTTGTACTGTAGTACAGTCCTGCTGGTTTTCCATTGGGATGGAACCTTGTGTTCAGACAGGCAGTGTGTGAAGAGCTGAGCCAGCGTATTGATGAGTACTGACAGCAGGTTCTTCAGGTGTTCAGGTCTGACCTTGTCTGGGCCAGGTGCTGTTTGTTTCTTTACCGACGAAATGGCGTGTCGGATTTCGGAAGGGAGAATGCTCCATTAGCTCTCAATGGAACAACCATCTCTGAATGCAACAGTTATGTGTACCTAGGTCAAGAAGTCAACATGACAAATAACCTGGCACCTGAGTTGCGCAGGAAGAAGAGAGCAGCCTGGAACACCTTCAAGAGCGTCGAAGAAATAGCTAAGAGGACAAAGAACCTCCAGCTCCGGGCACATCTCTTCGATTCCACTGTTCTTCCTGCATTAACATACACCTCAGAGACCTGGGCCCTACACAAACAGGATGAGACTGCTATTCGGGTCTCCCAAAGAGGAATTGAAAGATCTATGCTTGGAGTATCACGTTTCACTCAAATGAGAGAAAGAATCTGGAGTTCCGACCTCTGTTTTGACAATCAAGAATCAGGGATACTGTCTCGTTTGCCAAGGCGTCAAAAATCAGATGGGCTGGACACATAATGAGATTTGGAGACAACCGCTGGACTAGAGCTGTTACCGACTGGATTCCACGGGATGTCAAAAGACTGCGTGGCCGCCCACCTACCAGATGGTCAGACTTCTTCATCAAGACGCTGAACGATCGGTTTGAGGCTCTTCGTGTTCCTAGAATGATCAGATGCCATTGGGCTACACTAGCACGTGACAGGGACAAATGAAGATGTTACTGGCGCCCGCTCGAGCAAACCGATAATTAGCGGGATGTCAAGTGATCAAGTGATCAATATTAATTAGCAAAACTACTCCCAGAAACTGGTAAATTGGTATTAGTATTCACATACAACATATGAGGAAACTGAGACAAAGATTTTCTTTTTTTAGCTTTTTGGGTCACACTTGGCAATGCTCAGGGGTTGATCCTGGTTCTGGACTCAGGAATTATTCCTGGTGGTGCTCAGGGAACCATATGGGATGCCAAGGATCGAACCTAGGTCAGCCAAATGCAAGGCAAATGCTCTACCTACAGTACTATCACTCTGGCCCCAAGGCAAAGAATTTCTTGTTTTAAGTCTCAGCTCTGTGAACTTGGGCAAATTCCTTAGAGCTTTATCTGTAAGATGCAGATAACCATAGTCCTTTCTTCAGAGGGTGTTGTAAGGAACGAATTAGAAAATGTTCAGGCTGGAGAGAAATGTTCGGTGCCTTGCATGCTGCATAACTGGATTTGATCCTGGATTTGATCCTGGATTTGATCCTGGCACCACATATGAGGCCCCGAAGCCCTACCAGGAGTGATTCCCAAACACAAAACCAGGAGTATGCTCTGAGCCCAGAAGGGTGTGGCCTCCAAACCAAAACAAAAAACCCAGAAAGTGTAAAACACCTAGAAAAAAGCCAGTACCAGAGAAGACTTTCTATAGAGGTTGACAGTTATTGGATAACATGGTTTATTGAGTTATTCCTACAACAGTGTTCCTGAGGCATACCCAATTCCATCAACCACTAATAATCCTATATTGTTTTTCTCTTTCCTTTATGTATTTTGCAAGGTTTATTAGGGGTTGGAGCGATAGCACAGCGGGTAGGCTGTTTGCCTTACACGCTGCAGACCAGGCTGACTCGGATTCGATTCCTCCGCCCCTCTTGGAGAGCCCGGCAAGCTACTGAGAGTATCTCGCCCGCAGGGCAAAGCCTGGCAAGCTACCCGTGACATTTTCTATATGCCAAACACAGTTACAACAAGTCTCACAATGGAGATGATACTGGGCCTGCTCGAGTAAATCGATGAACAATGGGAGGACAGTGCTACAGTGCATGGTTTATTTAGTAATGTCCTTTTTGTATAGACAGAGGAAGACAGTTGATGCTATGCTTTTGTAACATGGGAGTATCCATGTTATTTACAGTATCCTGGGTATCCATATTTACTTGACTTAAGCCTCAGTTGCCCTAACACCCCCCAAAAAGAGGGTCCCGGCGAGGGACTAGGGACAAGCTGTAAGTCACCCTGGTATTTAAAGGGACATGCTAAGTGCCATAAGAAGTATAATAAGTTAAGAGCATGGTCATGGGACAAACTGTCATGACCCAAAAAAAGAAGTAACTGAATAAGGATCCTGTTGGGGTTAGGAAAGTCTAACCTGGCCTGAGGACAGTAATCTGGGACAAACAGTGAGATGTCCCTAGGAAGTGCAACCTTTAAGCTTAATAACTCTCTCGGTATGATTATACGAAAAGATGAAAAATATTAGTAAGAAATATATTTATTATGATTGTTTAAATGGATTACTAGCTAAGGAAAAAAGAAAGCAATACGCCCTAGAGGGGATCCCACTCTTGAGTGGATCTCCTGGTAATCTAGAGTGCTGAATCCTCAGATGAGATTTTATCCTTGAGTTAATCTCCTAGAAGAACTTCCCCTGAAGGAGGGGCTTTACATCTGTTAGCTGTTATGATAATTTTCAACACTACCTATGTATGCCTCCAGCCTTCATGACTTCTTTGTAACTATGCTGTAAGGGGGAAGAGAGAGGAGCATGAGAAACAACTATGCTGTGGAGAATGAAGCTGTAATCATGAGGATCAGAATGAAATAAAAGATCACTGACTATCAACCAGTCTGGGGCCCTGTTCCTCTGTTCCCCCATCCCCAACCTTCGTCTGTCCGTAGCTGTGGGCCAGCCGGGGGAGCAGTTCTCAGCCACCAAATGCACATGTGCCACATGCCCACGCTTTTTGAACTCACAGACAGCTATCTTGTAAGTCATTATAAGCAACAGTGCTGGGCCTCAGTCTTGAGAACATGATCCTCCCCATATGCTCTGAGTCTCTATGCTCTGTGTTCCCTGAAGAGCATTCCTAGCTCAGTTCAAAGATGGAGATTAAGCATCTGCCATTATGTCAGAGGCAGACCACAAACTTTCATATTTCCTAAGGCAGGGCTGGCATTTTTAGCTTCTACTCATTGCTAAATTCAAGGCTAGTGAAATCTGACTTTTCTCCATGGAGAGGCAAGAACTTCTTACCTGAAGATGACAATTTTAGGATGACCTCTAACATCATGAAAAATAACATATTTCTATACACCCCACAGATCATTCTCCCTCGAGACTCACCATTCTAGGGTTTATTAATGAACCATCGATGGCCCCTTCCATGACTTTTTTCCTCAAGTCTCCAGCATTCTTCACATCTTTAAATAATAGAAGGGTCACTCTGCATTCAGGGAAGAGGTCCAGCTGATGTGTTAACTGCATCTCATAGATAAGCAGGATTCAACTGCACAACAACCAAAAAGACCAAAAGATGTCTTTTGTTTGAAAGTTAACTTTATGATGACCAAATATCCTTATTACTAATTCAATAGAAAGAACAATAACTAAGTAAGAAAGTGGTAGAACTATTAAAAAAAAGTTAAGGGGCCAGAGAGAGAGCACAACAGGTAGGGCAGTTGCCTTTCATGCAAACGACCCTGATTTGATCCCCAGGCATTTCATTTGGTCCCCAAGCCCCACCAAGAGTGATTCCTGAGTGCAGAGCTAGGAGTAAACTCTGAGCAACACCTTGTGACCCAAAACTCAAAATACATATTTATTTATTTTTTCTTTTTGGATCACACCCGGCAATGCACAGGGGATACTCCTGGCTCTGCACTCAGGAATTACTCCTGGCAGTGCTGAGGGGACCATATGGCATGCTGGGAATTGAACCCGAGTTGGCTGCATGCAAGGCAAAAGCCCTACCCGCTGTGCTATCACTCCAGTCCCCCAAACCCAAAATAAATAATAAAAAAATAAAGTTAAAACGATCTCCAAAGCAATTTCAGCATCCTCATGAGAACTCTTCCTAAATGTCACTGAACTGCTTCTGGCTTCTTCATCTGACTCCTGGGAAAGGATCTAGGCTGCTGGTTGTGCCATTAAGGCAGGTCTGAGGCACACCTAGCTCGCTCAACAGAATCGGAGAATAATTTCAGCACACTTGCAGCATTAACAAAACTTCTCAAATTAGCCCTTTTAGTTTTCGGAATTACAACTTTATTTATATTTTAGCAGGTCTTAGATGTAAATATTTGATTGGCTTGGTTTTGGGTCTACACCCAGTTCAGTGTTCACTCGTGGCAGCGTATCAGTGATTGAACCTGGAGGTCCTGTATATAAAGCAAGTTCTCTAGCCCTTCGAGTTATCCCCCCTGCCGCTAGATATAAATATTAAAGAAGAAAATCATTTGGGGCCAGAGCGATACTGCAGAAGGCAGCAACCCTGCATGTAGCCACTTAGGCCAACTCTAATTTGATCCCCAGCACTGCGTATGCTCCCACTGCTCCCCAGGTCACTACTGAGCACAGAGCCAGAAATAGCCCCTGAGCATTGCTGGGTGTGTGTCAAGAACAAAAAACACAAGAAGGTAACTTCTTTTGCTTGTTTTTTGAGACACAACTGGAGGTGCTTAGGGGCTTTACTCCTGGCTCTGTGCTCAGGGGTCACTCCTGATGTTATTTGGGGGACCATATGTGGTGCTGGGGATTGAACCAAGGTTGACCAGGTGCAAGGTACTTCTGTACTGTCACTTCAAGCCAAGGAAAATAATTTTATAAAAACCTGTCATTTGACTCAAAAGATATATTGACTCAAAAGATATTCACACATGGAATTTAAACAAAGAGCACACAATTATTAATCAGGGACTGGAGTCAGTAGGGCGCTCTTCTTACACGTACTGATCCAGTTCAATCCCCATCCCAAATGGTCCCCTGAGCACTGACAGGAGTAACTCCTGAGTGCAGAACCTGGAGTAACCCCTGAGCATCGCTGGGTATGGCTCCAAAACCAAACCAAACAAAATAATAACACTGGCTCTTAGACATTAATTCAACAAAGTTAGGGCACAGAATATAATATACACACACACACACACATACACAAAGCAGAGAGGACAACTAGAATAACTAGAAATGCACATCTATATCCTTTAATGGAAAAAATTCAGTACTGCAAATTAAAAACAATTTCAAAGTCTTAATGTGGTACCAGGGTGAGAAAATTTGACAGATTTCTTGTTTTATCCTTTCACTTGATAGGTTTCATTTGTAGGGTCCTTTATCAAGGAATTAGTTGGAAAGGCAAGGATTTAAGTAATTAGATGTCCCTCTTATCACACCAACAGTAAAAACACTGAAAAAACATACTTAGCCCAAACCAATAGTGACACCCGTTTAAAACTTGGGGTAGGGCCGACGCGATAGTATAGCAGGGAGGGCACCGTGCCTTGCATGCTTCAATCCCCAACACCATAGACAGTCCCCTGAGCCCCACCAGGAGTGGTCCCTGAGCACCACTGGTTGTGGCCCTCAAACCAACAAAAACAACATTAAACAATCTTGGGGTCCCAGATACAGAGGTAGAGCACAAAACATTGCATGTGTGTGTGAGGCTCAGGGTTTGATCTGTGGAAAACCGGCCCTGAGCAGTTAAGCACATGTGAATAAAGCAACAAAAACATGAAAAAATATCTGACTGAAAAACACAATGTGGCCAAAAAGAGGTACAAGCACTAAGTAGAGTTACATCTGACTTTTCCTTATGACAATTGGGGACACACACAGACACACAGACACACAGAAGATAGACAAACACCCCTTTGGCTTCTTTCATGACAATCGGGGACACACACACCCCTGGCTTCTTTCATGACAATCCGGGACACACACACACACACACACACACACACACACACACACACCCCTGGCTTTTTTTCATGACAATCGGGACACACTCCCACCCCTGGCTTATTTCATGACAATCGGACACACACACACGCCCCTTTCATGACAATCGGGGACACACACACACACACACACACACACACACACACACACACACACACACACACACACACACACACACACACACACACACACACACACACAGACGCTGTGCGACAGAGAACAGTACCGACAGGCTCGCCGTGCGCGCGGTCCGACCACGAAACCGTCCCCCGGAAACAGAGCCGGCGGAACCGTCCCCCGGAAACAGAGCCGGCGGTTTCCGGAAGCCGGGCCCCCGCGGCAGCGCCCTCCTCCGTCGGGCTCGGTGAAAGCCGTCCTCCCGGATGTCCGCAAGGGGAAGTTTCCGCTGTCGTCCGGCTCCGGCTATTCCTTCCTTTCGTCGGGAACGTCTTCCTCCTTCGTCTTCCGCCCAGCCGCGCTGCGGACGCGAAGGAGAGCCCCGCTACCGTCACTTCCGGCCAGGGAGGGAGGCGGGACTCCCTGGGCTGGCGACCGGAAGCCGCGGACTGGGTGGGCGTGTCGCCTCGCTCTGGACCTCAGCAGGGCCGGGGGAGTCCCTGCCCGGACACGGTTTCTTCTGGTGGAGGAACAAGTCATTGACTGTAACGGGCCCTGGATACTTTTCTGCCGCGAGATTGGGCGATTTCTGACCCAGGCACTTTGTGTGCTTGGTGGAGTTGTTAGTACTTTTAAGCTATCAACCTCTTCCTTCATCTAGCACGCCCAGAAATTTGATGGCTGTTGCAGGATGTAGCAAACTCGCAGAACAAGCAGGGACTAGACGAGGTAAATCCCCCCGAAACAGGCTGTAGAGAATTTTCCCCCTTGTTTAATACGTTTAGAACTCATCAATGCTTACACAGGAAGATTTGCTCGAGCGGCTCGAGCGGGCCCAGTAACGTCTCCATTGGAGACTTTGTTGTTACTGTGTCTGGCATATCGAATACGTCACGGGGAGCTTGCCAGGCAGATTGGTAAATAAATATAGCTGTCAAATATATATATGTCCTGTAGAGGAGAGGTACAGAAAAGGGAATGGCAGACCTGCATGTTTTAAAGGATAACAGATCTCACCAAAGAGGGTCATTGACTAGGAGGGTCTGGAAACAAGCTCTGGAAGGACAGTACTCCAGGTAATAGAGTTCAAAGATGGGTACGGGGCTGGAGCTACAGTACAGCAGGTGGGCGTTTGCCTTACATGGGGCCAAACTGGGTTCAACCCCCCCATCCTATATGGTTCCCTAAGCACCCCGAGGAGTACTTCCTGAGTGCAGAGCCCCCAAAAAGCAAAAACCAAACAAAACCAAAGATCCATAGATCTTTAGTTGATTTAAGGATTAGCAAAGAAAACCACGTGGCTCAAATAGGAATACATATATGGAATATCACTGTCATCATCAAACACTGTCCAGCTGTTGTTCATCATTTGGTTGAGCGGGCCCAGTAACGTTTCCATCGTGAGACTTGTTGTTACTGTGTTTGGCATATCGAATACGTCCCGGGGAGCTTGCCAGGCTCTGCCGTGCAGGCGAGATACTCTTGGTAGCTTGCCGGGCTCTCGGAGAGGGGCGGAGGAATCGAACTCGGGTCGGCCATGTTGGCCGCTTGTAAGGCAAATGCCCTACCGCTGTGCTATCACTCCAGCCATATAATAGGAATACGTATTCCTATTATATTCGAGCCACAAAGTAACCATTTTGGAAGATCACAAGATGGATAAAGGTTGATAGTTTCCTAGGATTCAACCTGGTATTGTGTGCTTAAAAAATGCATGGCCATGCACCATGTGGTGGTCATGAGCTGCTTCCCCAACCCGGTCCCACTGATGTCCCACCTCTGCTGATAGACGTGTGAAGGAGAGAACAGAGCCGCCAGACTGGTGGGTGATTTGTCACTGTTTATTCTAATCTCCACCCCCATTCCAGACTCACACTCATTCCAGTCTCTTATTCTAGTCTCACACTCGTCCACTTTCACTCTGTCCCATTCCAGTCTTACTATGCCATTCCTGTTCCCCAGTATTAGTTAAGAGCAAAAGCAGCAAAGGTTGTGGGTAGCAATTACACATAGGTGAGGTAGCACAATAGGACCACTCCTGGTGGGGCTCAGGGGACTATCTATGGTGTTGGGAATTGAAACACCAACGAGAAGCCCTTTATTCCCAGGAAGCTCTTCTAGGACAGAATCTCATCCTGCAGAAGATTCGCTCAAGGGCAGGATTTCATCTAAGGGTGTATTTTTCCTTTCCTTAGTCCAACTCCATTTAAAGTCATCTTCAATTTATTTATTAATAATCTTTCTAGTCATTTTATAGGGACACAGATATATTAAGCTTATAGGGTGGCATATCCTGGGGATATTGCGCTATATATCCCGGACTACAGTCCTCAGGCCAGATTAGTCCTTCCTAACCCCATCAGATTCCTTTTTCAGCTACTTCTTTTTGGGTCATGCCAGTCTGCCCATAACTGTCCTCTCTGACTTATGTTTTATGGCACTTGGCCTGTCCCTTTTCAATGCCAGGGTAGCTTGCAGCTTGCCCCGGGTTCATGTAAATTTCTTTTTAGGGTGCTAGTAACTGAGGCTTAAGTTGAGTAAATATGACAGATACCCAGGAGTAAATATTATTTGGAGTCAATTAACTCAAGTAACAAGAGCACAGTATCAACTGTCTTCCTATGTCACTACAAAAAGTAAACTGCAAAGGACATAAGGAAAGAGAAAATTAATATTTCACCAATAAATACAAAGTTCAGATATCTCTGAAGAATCTTACTTTATAAGTCACAGGTTCTGATTAGGGGAAATGAGCAATTAATGGGAAGCAGAGCACAAAGGAGAAGTTAAAGACGAGTGGGAGTGCTTTGGGAGCATTGTGATGGGTGTTAGTAAATCTAAACTTGTGGCGGAGAAGAAAGGACAGGACCAATGTTACCCAACAACTGTTGTCCTTCTTTACATTTTATTATTTATTTTGGTGGTAGTGGGGCAGTGTTGCAGGTCAAACCTGGCTGTGCTCATTCTGACAAAGACTGCTATTCAGATTATATAAAGAACACCTACAACTCCTCCTAAGAAACAATGTACAGCTAGGGAAGATTAGTTTACAAGGCGAGAGAATGCTTTCCATGTAGGAGTGCAGAGCTGGATACTTGGTACTGCATCATCCCCAACCACACCACTAGGGGGATCCAAGCACTGACCCAAGAGTACCTCTCTGGGTGTGGCCCAAATCCCAAACCACCAACACAAACAAAATCTTGTATTTGAAAAATAACTTAAATGACTGGAGTTCATGCCTTGCTTGTGGGATACCTGTCAATATATGGTCCGCTGAGGCACCTCTGGGGGGTAAACCTTTAATGATTCAATAATGGAACAGGACAAAATTAAAAAGCAGAAGACTTCTATACACACACTCTTATCACCATTCTAATCAGAAGAAAATATCCAGAAAAAGAAGAATTTTATAAAATGATTAACAAGGGATGTTCTTTATTATGTTAGTTCTAAAATATTTTCCTCTCAAAAAAATTTAAACGGGAATGACAATTTCCTTCACGACTGCCAATACTGTAAGTAACCAATAAAGATCAATATAATTTTATAAAAAAATCACTATTATATAATTTTTCTTTCTCAGTTTGACCACATAAGGGAACAATTAAATTATAAACATCATTTGACCTGATCTTATAAAAATCAGCTGTCTTTAGTCCTATTCTGTTGGCAGAGAGTTTCCGGTGTCCGTCCTGTTACTCCGTCCATTCACAATAGTTTGGGTAGGACAGTCCATAGTAATCTTTACGGTGCCACCTCGTATTCTGGTTTGCTTGACCGGCATGAGACTTTATATTCCACGAGTATCTCCTTCGTGAATAGTCTTCTCCGGGGGCTCCAGGAGGAGGAAGATAGCTTCTTTGGTAAACATTCTGATTCTGTGGACATTTTCTTAAGCAAAACAATTTAGAAGTTTTTTTTTTTAAATATACAATGTTTTATAAAATACATATTTAGTTCTACTATTTTCTGCTGCTGCACTCTCTCTCCAACCTGATTTGATCTTTTCTTACAGCAGCAGCAATGTATATGTGTGTATCTCACAACTTCCTCAACAGTGCAGCTGCCACTGAACATTTGGGTTGTTTCCCAAATGTTCTGGCTACTGCACTTAATACACATTAAGTGTGCACATATCGTTTTGTTTTGGGGTGGGGGATAGAGCCAAGGGTAGAATTCCTGGGTCATATGGGAGCGGTATTCTTCCTTTTTTTTTAAAGTAATCTCCATATTTTTTTTCCACAGAGGTCGAAAAAGACAACATTCCTACCAACAATGAATGAGGAATCCTTTTATAGTGCATCCCTGTCAACAAGGGTGATTTTAATCTTTTTTAATATAGGTTGTTCTCACTGGTGTGAGATGACATCTGTCATTTTGACTTGCATTTCCCTGATGATAAACACTTTTTCATATGCCTACTGGCCATCTACATGTCTTCTTCAGGAAGGTGTCTTTTCATCTCTCCCATTTTTGATGGGATTATTATTTTGAGATTGTTGCTGAGCTTTATTGAATGTTTTGTGTGTCTTGGATGTTACCCCTTTATTTGATATACTGTGTGTAAATATAAAAATAGAAATTCAGGGAGGATAAATATCTTGCCCTATAGTTCATAGTAGATGAATGGCAGAGTCAAAAAAGCAAATCAGTTGCACTCTTAACCTCTATACTGGACTGCCTTATCATAAACTGTTGCTATGGGCCAGAGTGACAGTACAGTGGGTTGGCCATTTGCCTTACACACGGCTGACCCAGGTTCGATCTTCATAATCCCATATGGTCCCCCAAGCCTACCAGTAGTGATAGCTGAGTGCAGAGTCAGGAGCACTGAGCACTAAGTCCTGAACACTGCCAAATGTGCTATCCCCCAGAGAAAAGAAAACTGTTGCTACATAAATATGCAAATTAATTTGCAAAGAAATAAGCAAATGCCTCCCTGTTTTACTATGGGGGGGGGGTTTGTTTGGTTTTGGAGCTACACCTGGCAATGCTCAAGAGAAACTCTTGGTTGTGCTTGGGGGACCATATGAGAGGCCGGGGATCGAACCCAGGTCAGCCCTGTGCACGGCAAACACCCTACCTGCTCTGGCCTGAGTGTTTTTAAAGCATTTTTCCAAATTAGAGTAGTTCTGTAATTTAATCTTAACATTCTTACCAAATTTCTCTAATGGAATATACTAGTTCCACTATAATCTCGATCCTTACTGTTTAGGTATCAACATTCATTACCTATTCTGAAAACTAACAACCTAAAAACAGAAGGTCCTTTTTGAGTAGCACTGTAGCACTGTCCTCCCATTGTTAATCGATTTGCTTGAGCGGGCACCAGTAACGTCTCCATTGTGAGACTTGTTGTTACTGTTTTTGGCATATTGAATACGCCACAGGGAGCTTGTCAGGCTCTGCTGTGCGGGCGGGATACTCTTGGAAGCTTGCCGGGCTCTCCGAGAGGGACGGAGGAATTCAATCCGCGTCGGCTGCATGCAAGGCAAACGCCCTACCTGCTGTGCTATAATCAGATAGCACCAGATATAACTTTTTTGGGTAATCACATCAAATTGTTCTAGTCTGAGCTCTTAATCAGTGAAAAATTTCTAGTTTCTTTTCCCAAATTGTTTCCGAAAAGTCATACACTGCAAAATACTGACAGAACCTCCTGATTTAACAATGATCACCATGAAAATGTTAATTCTTCACCATTATCATAATGTACGTGAACTAACTTATAAAATTATTATCTACTTCAATCCTCAAAAAAGGGAAAGCAGAAATACCTTGCTGACTCCTGTAAATCTTGGGTGTGGTTGTGGAAATACGGAGTAGGTACTGTGTAACCACAAGCCTGCTGTGGGTTATACATGGATCTCTGTTTAGGAGACTTATACGTGGTATGAACTGGTTCTGCCATATGTGCCGAGTTTTCATAACCTCTTGATCTGGATACACTGGAATCCCAATTCCTTAAAGAAAAAATTTCCACACATTTTAACTGTTTCCCAACATTCATGGTCAATCTAGTAAGCACAGTCATTAGCCCATGAAAGTAGCAATCTTATCCTCCCACCGTCTGTATTTGTTTAGATTTTCCTAACAAGTAAATAAGAAACATTAAACAATATAAAAACATATCTTCCTAACCACATACAGAATGCAACTTACTTTCTGATAGGACCATTCTGAAGGTCTTCAATGTAGTTTTGTCTTTCTAAGCAATGTCCCCGGCACCTATTGAATACTAAGTAGTGGATGAACTGTTAGACATAACTAGTCTTTCCCAAAGTGGGTGACACCGCCACCGGGGTAGGGTAGGTGGAGGCACAGAATTGAAATGACAGGGTGCTGGTGGTGGTAAGAGCTGTGGGTACAATGGGAGTGGGGGCACTTTGTTAGCTCAAAAGACAGACTTCCAGGTAGTGCCCTGAGTAGTTTTATTTTCTGAGACGAGGGCAGTAAGCCAAGTAAGACGTGGGCCAAGTACGTTTGGAAATCTCAGGAACAATAGCAAGAAACGTATCTTCCATAGAGAAAACAGATCAATACTATTCAAAGCAGATCAAAATCCATTATGCTAATTATTATTTGGCAAAAGATTATATCAAATCAATCAAACCAATTACAAACCTTTTTTTAACTTGACAAATTTATAGAAATTTCTATAAATTTATAGAAATTACCTTAAAGTTTTATGGAAGAGAAAAATAGTAATAAGCCCATACTTACATTCAATTGCATCATCTGGCCTCATGCCTTCTACATCAATCAAATATCTAACAAAGCAACATAAATGAAAAAGAATCATTTATACTTACTAAGGTCTGGAAGCCCCAAATTTCCCTCCCCAAATGTCCCTATCTGATTAATCATGACCATCCTGTTATTCGTCGATTGCCTCGAGCAGGCCCCAGTAACATCTCCTTCATCCTAGCCCTGAGATTTTTAAGAAAGTGCTATATTCAAGGTTTTTTAGGAGAATGAGACCCATCATTGTTACTGGTATTTTGCATATTGGCATATCTGATTAATATCTACTCAAATATCTCTAGAAATCTTTTCTAATCAACAAAAACAAGGTACAATTTTCCATATTCGGCATGCTCTCACAGTACAATGCTCTTCAGTCCCTGTCAGAGTTTAATTGTATATACCTTGTGTGATTCTTTTCTTTCTTCCCCTGGGTCCTCTAAGCAGTGCTCCAGTTATACTCAGGAATGTGGTGCTGTGGGCAGCACCCAGGGCCCTATGCATGCATGACAGGTGTCTCCATGTTTTGCACTCTTTTTATGTCAGAAACTTCTGGTCTTTATGTACATCAGTAAGCAAAGGAATGATGCAATGTGATTCTGCGGGGGGGGGGGGGGGGGGGGAAGAATACTGCCAAGCAATTGCTCAGTGGGCTTGGGTTCACTCCTGGGAATAATCAGTCAGCAGGGCTGACAGTTCAATGTTAGGGTCCATGGATGCTGTGCTCAAGAGGTACCATGGCTATACCCAGGAGTGCTGGGGGTGGGCGACGGGGAGAGTAACATGTGGTTCTGGGAGTCAAACCGAATTCTTGTAAATGCAAATCATATTCCTGAGACATCTGTGTCATCTCCCTGGCCCCGCAATGCAAAGAGTTCTTAACAAAGAATTAGGTCTCTAAATACTTTCACAGAATGATACCCACCGTAAACTAAATTATGAAACAGTACCTCATGTTACCTATTACATGACGAAATGCATATTTGTACATCTACATTTTCTTTGATCTTGGGGGGGTGGGGGTATACCTGGCAGTGCTCAGGGCTTACTCCTAGTATATCTGCATTTTCTAATTTGAAAATGTATACTAAACTTAGTCCTAACATTAAGTTCCTTCCCATATGCGAGTTACTGTTTCTCTCTCTTCTACTTTTTTTCTACCTTCTTTTTTTTTTTTTTTTGGCCTACAGTCAGCACTGCTCAGGGGCGTTACTCCTGGCTACGCATTCAGGAATCATTCCTGGCAGTCCTCAGGGAACCATATGGGATGTTCCTAGGGTCTAACCTGAGCCGGCTGCATGTAAGGCTGTATCGTAACTCCAGTCCCTAAACTTTTCTATTTAAATTAGTAATGAAGGTAACCTCTGGGTGGTGGGTGAGACTGCTTTCTACCTCATATATTTCAATATTGCCTACATGGTTTGCAGTAGCTGAAATTACAACTGTCAAGAGAAAACAACTCAAATATAGTCTATTTCTTGGAGTCAGCAACTCACCTGCAGATGAGGTAGCCAGTTCTGTTTAGACCATGGGTACAGTGAACACCAATAAGTTTGTCTATGAAACAGTGAACAGAGATTTAAGCAGACATGCAAAAAGTTGCACAATTTTCTAAAGAGTAATATTTATAAGTTACAATACTTCCACTACCCTGAAAACACTGGTAAGGTTTGAGTGTTTCAGGAACATATTAGCAAAAGAATTACCTTTCTTACAATGAAAATTTATCACTGCTAGCTCTCAGTATGTAACGGTGTATACTACTGCAGGCCTGTGGAGGCAACAACAACTAAAACTGTACTGTGACAAGCCCGTTTGTCCTTTGGGGGTAGTTGGGGGGGCGGGGCGGGAATGAAGAAGTTGGGACACACCCGGCAATTCTCAAGGGCTACTCCAGGCACTTTGTTCACTCTTGACTGTGCTAGTGATAAAATTTGGGTTGGCTGCATGCAAAGCAAAAATCTGATCCCCTGTCTCTCCAGCCCTAGCTGATTTATCTCTTCTTTCTTTCTTTCTTTCTTTCTTTCTTTCTTTCTTTCTTTCTTCTTTCTTTCTTGTAAAATTTTTATTAGTGAAACACCATGAGGTACAGTTGTAGACTTACAAATTTTTGTGCTTGGGTTTCAGTTATACAATGACCAAATACCCATCCCTCCACCAGTGCCCATTTTCCACTACCATGGGTCCCAGTATCCCCCTCCATCACCCCCCCACCCCGCCTCTGTGGCAGGTCATTCCCTTTTGTTCTCTCTCTCCTTTTGGGTGTTGTGGTTTGCAAAAGAGGCACTGAGTGGCAATCATGTTTGGTCTATAGTCTACTTTCAGTATGCTTCTCCCATCCTGGGAGGATCCTCCCAACACCCTTTATTTGGTGCTCCCTTCTCTATCTGAGCTCCCTTTCCCCCTAGCATGTGTAGCTGGCCTCCAAGCCATGGAGTAAAATTCCTGGTACTAATATCGGCCACTCTTGGGTGTTAGTCTCCTATTTTGTTACTTTATGTTCCCCAGATGAATGCAATCTTTCTATGTCTATCCCTCTCTTTCTGACTCACTTCGCTTAACAGGATACTTTCCATGTAGTACCACTTGTATGTAAATTTCATGACTTCATCTTTTTTAACACCTAGCTGATTTATCTTAACAGAACATACCCCTCAGTATTGGATTTAATTACAGAAAAGAGAAATGGAGAGGGGGAAAAGGTGGTCACAAGAAGAATGAGCCTTGTTTCTCGGTCAAACAAATATAGTATCTTTACTTTTAACACTGATAATCAAAAAAGTATTACTTTTGCTGTCCAAGACACTTCTGTTCCTCTCATTTGCTGCTCCTCACAGGCCTCAGGTTTATATGCCGTGAGAACTACCCATGTAAATACTATATATAATTTATTTTACAATGAAAAAGCAAGGCTTAAAGATGGTAAATTATACAACAGGTAAAAAGAACAAAGGTTCAAGCCCAAGACTGTTTTTGTTTTGTCTTGTTTTTGGCTTTCAGGTGACATTCAGTGATGCTATTTCCTGACTCTCTGCTCAGGGGTCACGCCAGGCAGGGTTCAGGGACCACTGGAGTACCAGGGATCAAATCTGGGCCAGCTGCATGTGTGTGCCTTGTTGTACTATGCCTCTATCCCTAAACCTAAGACTTTTCTGTTTCATAGTATTTGTTAGTCCATCATTTAAAAAAACATTGTAAGAAATAAATTAACTTGTTGGCATTTATTTAATTATAGCTGAGGTTACATGTTTAAAATAACATTAATGTTCACAGAAGGTTGAATTAGCACCAACCAGCCCAGTAAATTGACTTACTGATCTAGGTTTTGATAATTCCATTTGCCCTTGTGTTATAACAAACAATATGAAGTAAATCTATTTGTGCCTGCTAAGGCTAGGTAAAAAAAGTTTCAAATTTTTAAATAAATAAAATTTTTTATTAAAAAATGGAATGCCTGTGGTCTGATGTACAGCTACTACACCTACTACCAAAGTGCCCAGCACTCTCCACCAATGTCCTTCAATTACTTCCAGCCCAGCTCAACATTCTTCCCTCCAGTCCTCATACTGCATATATTCCAAGAGTAGCACATCACATTTGATGGGGTTTAAAGTAGAAGGCAACCAATCTTAGAGGAAAATATATTTTTACATACATACATGTATTTTGCTCGAGCGGGCCCAGTAACGTCTCCATTAGAGATTTTTGTTGTTACTGTGTATATATATGTATATGCACACAAGGCTCAACCTTTAACACTATGTTAGTGATCTCTTATAGAAGGCCTTACTGGCCCCTGGGTGAAATGCAACCATCTTCACACACTTTTCTTTAAGGAAACTTTTTTGGAGCACTTTCAGCTGTTTATTCATAACAAATAATACAAAATTATTTCGGTTCTGCTTTGGAGCAGGGGTTGGAGTTCAGGATGGAAACATCTGAAATATATTGGTGAGAAGATGTAATGATGGTGGGACTGGTGTTGGAATATTAAATGTAATCAAATACTGTGAACTATTTTATAAAAATAAAATAAAAAATAAGAGAGAACATGCAGCTCTCCAGAGTAGAAAAAACTAGTAAAGAGACAAGCAAATGAGATATGTGTTTAAGGAAGATACATGCTTGAAGAGCAGGCCTGGTTTATATTTCTTAACAAAATCACTTTCTGAACTAAATTATTTGTAATCAAAGCAAGAACATAATTGGTGGTGGGGAGGATTTGGAAGGGAGGGGTGTTTGGGCCTTTGAGGAAGGAGGTGTGTCCACTGGTGATGGATGTACTGTTGGAATTGTGTGTATGAGAAACCATCAACAACAGTACTGCAAGTCACAAAACCTCAATCAATAAAAATTTGTATTAAAAATTAAAACAAATTGCAAACCTAAAAATAAAATGGTTTGTGACCACCTGTCCTGTCCTGTCCTCCCTTTGTTCATTGATTTTGCTCGAGCAGGCCCAGTAATGTCTCCACTGGAGACTTTGTGACCACAGAAAACAAAAAAACCTATTCTGTTTGTATCACCTTGTATTTCCACCTCAACATTTTAAAGCACAACAGACCTCATGTCATACTAGTAAAAATCCCCGACTCCATACAAAATGCATGACAAAGGAATGTAGGTTAAAAGAAACAAGACATAACTCACCATTGTCTTTATTTTCTTTTAAAAACCCACTAACAGCACGTTTGAATTTTGAAATAGTTTTATCATCAGGCACATGATGCCCCAATGTAAAAATCTTCAAGTAAGGAATAGTTTCTGGCAAATCCTAGAAAGGAAAATCATGAAAATACAGTATTTCATTTGAAGGAAAATACTTAAAAATAATAAAAGCCAGAATACAAACCAAGAACTCCTAATAAAATCTAGTTAGTAGGACTATAATTCTGATAATACTTTTTTTCCGAAACATGCTTCAATCAGAAATAGTATTTGATTTTCATTACAACTACAGAACAGATAGTCAAGAGGCATGCAAAACTATAATCAAAGTTCCTGTGAATGAGTAACAGGTAGCTACAATTAAAAATGATATAATTAGTTCTTCTTGATGTCCTACATTCAAAAAGGGAGTCAATAAAGCTCCTTTTACGACTAAAATAGCTGTAAATAGAAAAGCTTGGATTTGAATTGTGACAGCAAATATCAGTTACTACTGAAAGCTGGTTTTCTTGGATAGGAGACAAGCAATCAAGTGAAAATTCAATAGTTCTGAATTAATTCTCAAGGATTGGTATGAACCTGTGAAGTATTTTATATTAAAAACAAGATGCAATTATATTTTATATTAAAAACACTGCCCTTGCTTTGACCATTAAAAAATGTCATCCAAATATCAACTTCTAGCACTTCAACTGAATCTCAAAATGCCATTTCTGTTAAAAGTTTCGTGGACCAGGGATACAGATCAATGACAGAGAATGTACTTTGCAAGCATCATTTTTGAAAAAAAAAAAAAGAAGAAAAAAAAAAGCTGCTCCATGGGGAAATGCTCTGGGGTAAGAAATGTTTTTATTAAATGGGCTTACAATGTTTTTGTGTGACATTCAAATAGCAAAAATAATGACTCAAGATTATTAGGGTCATATCAGAAGTTCTACTGGGGCTGGGGGCCAGAGCAATAGTATAGCAGGGAGTGCATTTGCCTTGTAAGTGGTCTACCCAGGTTCCATCCCAAGCTTCCCATATGGTCCCCCGAGCACCGCCAGGAGTAATTCCTGAGTGCAGAGCCAGGAGTAACTCCTGAGCATTGCCAGGTGTGACCCAAAAGGCAAAAAAAAAAAAAAAGGTTCTACTGGGTCACATGTGGTTGTGCTCAGAGATAACACTCCTGGAGGTGCTCAGGATATCACACAGGTTGTAGATTAAACAGGGTTGGTTTCTTACAAGATACTTTACCTCTGTGCTCTCTCTTCAGGCCGCCTGCCAAAATATTAACAGCCCGACTCATGGTCTCAGCCTCATATTGGCATAGCAATTAGAAATATATAATTAAGGAAACCAAGGAGTCCATTTTCTTTTTATCTATTACCCATTAAAGACCAGATTTAATTTTAGCATAACTGTTGAAGTGTTAACAATCATTATTAGGAGAATGTCTCCAGATTAAAGGGTCTACTTGCCTCTGGTTTATAATAGCGCTGAGTATATGTCAAATCAATAATCAGTCCAAGTTCTTCATTCTGTTCTTGGATTTTGTTAAAAAGATCCAAGGGAGAAAAACGTTCTTCTGGAGCAAGTTTCTCTTGAAAGCTCTGTAAGAGAGGAAAAAAAGGAAGAATGAGTGTGTGCTTAGAGTCTTTTATTATCTATTACTTTAAGCCCTATCATGGTTACAATAAAACTTCTGTAATTTACGAACAATATTACCATCCTTAACTCCAGTGATATTAGAAGGAAGAAAATAAGCTCAATGTGTATATTTCTTTGTCGATTTGTTCTGTTTTGGTCTCTAAACCACACTGTAAACTCCCAGAAGGAATGGGCCACACTGACTTATTTATGTGCTTTGTTTGGGTCGGTCCTGGCAATGCAAAGGGGTTACTCCTGGCTCTGCACTCAAGAATTACTTCCTGCGGTGCTTGGGGGACCATACGGGATGCTGGGAATTGAAACCAGGTCGGCTGTGTGCAAGGCAAATGCATTAACCACTGTGCGATTGCTCTGGCCCCACACATTGATTTTTTTTCAGTACTCTATCTGCAGCTCCAGTGGAATGCCTGCAAATAGGAATTTAATGTAATTCAAGGGGAGGAGGGAGAGACAGGTAACACTTGGCAGTGTTTAGGGATCACTCCTGGCAATGGCTCGTGGGACCATATAGGGTGCTGGGGATAGAAGCCAGGATGCTCACATGCAAGGCAAGTGCTTAACTCCTGTACTATCTTTCTGAGCTGTGTAAACAAGAATTTAAAGCAAAAGCTTGAGACAATCTTCCTGAGAGTGACTGCCGTTTCCTGCCTCAACAGTGCTTAGAGTGAGCTGGCACTCATTCCATGTGGTTGCTCAGAGAACCATCAGTCATCTCAGGTCATTTGGAGCACACCAGGCCCTCACCACTGCCACTCTAGCTCAGTCACCTAGCATTTCTTCAGCTGCTGCCACATAACCAAGTCCCCCTGTCAGATGTGCTGGAACAACCACAAGGACTTGAAGACCACCATCAACACCATCTCTCTCAAGTCCTTTGCATAGTTAATTCAGAACAATGTCCTTTTTGATTTTTTTTTTGGAAGGAAAAAATTTAATCCAGCCTTTCTTGGCAATGAAAATTTCTTAAAAAGCAAAAAGATTATTGGCATAGTTCCAATTCAAATACTTCATTCCCTGTAATGTTCAAGTGAAAGTGAGATAAAGCAACCCAATTACAAAGTATAAGCTTCTAAGACAATTATCCAATCATTCTAGTAAAATGTTAGTAAGGAAGCCTCGTGCTAATGAAGTACCCACACTGTGTTCCTGCACGCAGCCAGAGACCCATCAAGCCAACCAGTGACATCCATTGTGACCAGAACAGTTCCTTCACCTGCACGTCATTCTCACCTGTGCTGCCAACCGCAGAAACGAGACTTGATGTTTTATTACTTAGAGATGGTTCAACAAGGTTATGTCCAAGAAGCTCCCTATCAGTTACAATGGATACATACAAATTGGGTTAATTCACTAAGTTCTACTTTTTATCATTCACTGTCACCTCAGGACATCTAAAAGCTTAGATGCTGCAAAGTAATCAATGAACCTTGTCCGCAATAAACATGGGTATACAAAACTACACATCTAGACCTACAGTTATAGCCTAGACTGTCTTCTAGCTGAGCTACCATCAGAGCCCTTCCCTTCACCCTTCCTCTTCTTTCTTCACCATTTCAGTGACCAAGTTCAGGAACATCTTGCTCCAAGAGGTGGATTATTAGACTCCCAGAAGACAGTCCTTCCTAAAGACTAAAAATTATATAGGAATTGCTTACTAATACTACTTTTTAAAATATACGGTATTAGGACTTATTTTATAGCCATGTTAACTAAAATGCATATATAAAACAAAAGATAATAATGTGAACGTGCCTATAAGATTCATGGGTTCAGAACCCTTCCCTGCAAACCCCTCCCCAACAGTCAGCATTCCCTTCACTAGTTCCTTCCCCAGATACAACCATTCCTATAAATTCTTTTTAAAAGTGTTCTTTTCTTTCTCTCAATGATGTACACTTTTAAACACCTATGATTAAATGTTCCAAACAGGACTTGTTTTGCCCTTTGTCCACTACAATCTGAGTGCCTTCTACATAAAAACTTCCTAGTCTAGGATTTTTTAAAAAAGATTTTTAATTTTTTTGGGGGGTGGGGGTTGGACCACACCTGGCTGTGCGCAGGGCTTCCTCTTGGCTCTGCACTCAGCAATCACGCCTGGTGGGCTAGGAGGTAGGGGGGAAATCAAACCCAGTTGGCCACATGCAAGGCAAGCACCAACCTGTTGTGCTGTTTCTCCAGCTCCGCTAGCCTAGAACCGTGCCTCTTCTCATCCCTATCAACCCAGCGGACAGACTGGGTTGGCAAAACGACTCTCAAGTCAGTATTAACAGTTTTACTCCCTCAAACTGTTTTCAGAAGCCTTTCCTAAGAATTTCAACAAGGTGTACACAAGTGACTTCTTCTTCTTCTTTTTTTTTTTTTTTTGCTTTTTGGGTCACACCCAGCAATGCACAGGAGTTACTCCTGGCTCATGCACTCAGGAACTCAGGAATTACTCCTGGCAGTGCTCGGGGGACCATATGGGATGCTGGGAATCGAACCTGGGAATCAAACCCGGGTCCGCCACGTGCAAGGCAAGGCAAATGCCCTACCCGCTGTGCTATTGCTCCAGCCCCTGGACTTGTTTATTAATTCTACTTTTACACTGGAAACCTCTTTAACATCTAGAAAGACTAGATGTTTGCAATTAGGACATTTGTCCTTTCTATACAATATATACACAGCTAAATAAAGCAAAAGACAGACATAAGGGACAATGGCTAATCTTGCCTAACTAAAAACATTCGCGTCTAAAAGCCCTATGCTTCCCTCCTCCTTCTCTGAAGCAGTACAAGTGAAACTGTTCAGAAGCAGGTGGATCATTCTGGTCATACCATTTCCAAAAGACTACCCTAACGTATTTTAACAAAAAACTACCTACAAAATGTGTTAATTTCACTACCTCTACTTTTAACATACTTTGTGCACTTCTAAACATCTAGAGAGACTAGATGTTTCAAATAAGTACTTAGTTTGTCCACTATATACATAGTAGTGTTGAATAAACCACACACATGTAACAACGGTTGTATCTCAAAGCCTCTTCACTGTGGTCTAGAGCCCTGCATTTCCTCCAATTCTTCCTCTCCACCACCAACCCCTGGTGAGGGTAAGCACAATTTCATTCCCTAAAAGGTCCTTTTCTTTCTTTTTGAAGGTGTTTTCTTGAAGGCAGCTTCTGATGAATTTTCACACCAAGTTACAAAGGTGCTGGTTTACTAACTCTACTTTTGTCATACATTGGCAACCTCTTTAATATCTGGAGATTAAGTATTTAAAAATCAGGACTCATTTGTCCAGTATGCATATATATATATGTATATACAGTAAAGTTATAGATGAAATACAACGTAACATACTAGAGCAGCGGGTAAGCTGAAAATAAGCAGAAATTTTCTACTGAGCATTTTGTTCCCCTCCACCTCCCTCAACCCAGCAAGTTCACTGTTTGAAGAGGTGGTTCAAAGATTGCATTTCTAAGGCTATTTCCCACCCACTTTTTATTTACAAGAAGCACTATGCTACTTTTAACTAGATTCAGCACCTAGCTAGGTATAGAGAAAGACAAGGCATTTCATTTAAGAACTTTTCCACAATGGACACAGCACTATTAAAGCAAACTGCACCCATAAAAAAAAGTTCTATTTTGAGGTATCTTCTAAATATGACCATTCTGGCCTTAACTTTTCCCTTATTCCCTCCAACCCAACTTCATGGACAAGTACAGGAATGTATGTTTGGAGAACTAATTTATACCCAAGTCTTTTGTAGAAAATCTTCCTGTAACAGTCAACAGATTTAAAGGTGCTAATTTTACTCCTTTGCCATACACTGGCAACTTTTAAAATCCAAAGCAGAGGTCCCCAAACTTAATTTGGCCTACCACCACCTTTTCAGGGGGAAAAAAATCACTGAGCCCCCTCTGGGAAACAAAGGACCCACCCCGCACCCCCCAACTGCACGTTAAGGCTACTGTTGCCCCTCCCCCTCCCTCCCAGTGGCCCCTTGGCCGCAGTATTGCCCACTTTGAGGATTATTTTGAGCTAGTGACTAGATGTTGCCAAAGTTCTGCCCCTTATAAACAGAGCAAAAGAAAATGCGTGTAACAAAAATGATTGTCTTCAAAAATGTCTCTCTATGCACACAAACACTAGCACATCGCCTTTTGCAAACCTTTCCCTCCCACCTCCTCAAAGCACTTAGCAGGCAAGCACACTGTGCACAGAGGTGACTGAATGGCCCCACTCCCAGGACAGTATTTCCCACCAGTTTGAGTAAAAATGGCATTTACAAGCGTGGCGTTTCACTACCTCTACATTTAACATACATTGGGCACTTCTAGACATCTAGACGGACTAGATGTTTCAAACAGGACTTAAATCTGTCCACTATATACACAGCAGTTTTGAACCAACTGCACACATGTAACCGAATCTGGGCGTCTTGGAAATGTGAACATTCTGGCCTAACGCCACCATTCCCCCACCCCTCCCTCTTCCAACTCCCAATGCTCATATTTCAAAAGACACTCTTTCCCCTAAAATTTTGCAGAAAAATGTACACACACTCTTGGCTATACACTGTTAAAATCTACAAAGATTAGATGCGACTAGCTTCACACTCACTGTCCCATATATACTCTATATACAGCAACGGGAAACCAAAGAAAGCGAACACAATCACCCGGACTCACTTCGACCACACTGGCAAGGAGCTCTTTGTCCCTCCCCTCCCGCCCCTCCCCCGCCCAGTTCCCGGCTCCCAAGGCGCTTTGCCACCTCCCCGCCTTCCCCATAGGAGACTTTCTTTAAAATTTACAAAGCCTGTTTGCAGCCACTACTTCGAACAAACGTCAGGCACTTTGGAGCATCTGGAAGATGAGCTAGTTCGGAAAAGTACTCAACATTGCCAATCGGACACGCAACCGTGGGGAACAAAAGGGACACAAAGCAACGGTCATTGC